TAATATTTCTCAGTCAAGCTGCAACAGTAGCAAGAAAGAATTAAATGGCAGCAAATCATCTCTCAGTGTTTCCAAGTCCAGCACTAATAAAAACAATCAATTTAGCCAAGATAAGGACAGAAATGACAAAGGTGATGGTAATGACCTATGATAATTTTTTGCAATAATTTTATTTTCACTAATATTAATTACACAACGAAAATGAATTTAATTCTTTGCAGGAACTGTAAGCAAGTTTCAAAAGTCTGTAAAAAATCATTTCGATGTTAGTAAGTATAAGAACAGAAAAGAAAATAAAGACAGAATGGAAAAAGGTATTGACAAAATTAAGTGTCTAATGTCACTTTTTCTTTCATCAATCATTTTTTATTCATTATCTAGTCATTATTCATATTACAGCAACAACAGATAAATCTCAACGATCTGTTCTCGAGATTGCTGATATTAATGAAAAAGTGGAAAACAATAATGTGCTTATGTTAAATCCATTGGAAAGTGTTAGAAGCCCCTCAAATTATAATTCAAATGACTTTCTAATTACTGCAAAAGGTGGTAAGTTATAATGATTACATTTTTCCAGTTTTTAGCAGTTTAAATGTAAAAATCACGAAATGTCATGATAACTTTGGATACATGTTTTTTGATCCTATGTCTTGTTTCCAGGGAATAACATTTGCACTAATTTTGAGAAAACAGACCCTCGAGCAACAAGTTTCCCACGAGAACACGACATTACCTCTGATTCTTTTAGCGAAGATGACACTAAGGATTTAGATCATTCTCATGAACTCTCAGACTCCACTAGCAGCAAAAGTATTGAAACGGCTACTACAAGCACAATGTGTGCCAAGCAAATTGATAAACTTTCACCTATTCGTAAATACTATTCTCTTATTTCAAAGTAAGTAATTCTTATGTAAAATATTTTAAATTCATTTGGTCACTTTACAGAGGTTATGAAACTGCAGTACGAAAAACTCTGTGTAATTGAAAAGACGAACACGAAGCTCCAAACAACAGTTGAAGAAGTAGCCAGCTTTTATTAAATAGGACAGAAGTGCTCCGTCAACCAAAGGGTCTCCCAAATCTACCCTTCGCAACATTCGAGGATATTAAAATTGCTGAAGATCTTACAAATAGAAACTCTTCCATAAAAGATTATATTGTAAATTGAAAGATATTA